AGAGAAAGCAACCCCTGAACACTCAACCCTGGTGATTCATTTGCCTAATTATATTATGCAGAACTGGAAGCTGCCTGAAACACAGCTGTAACTTTCTGGAAGCCTCGAAACAATTACTTTTCAACAATCCTTTAAATAATCCATACTCATAAAACAAGTGATACAGAAAGATGGCTGTAAAGCACCAACGAATCAAGTGCTTTTGCACCCACGTTGTTATGCAAGTTGCAAACATCCACAAATACCTCAGTATGTAGATAACTGTTACAAACCAAACAGTTTCAGACATTTGACTGACATTTGTCTTGCTGTTCAAGCAAAACCAGACACATCTGAGACAGACTGGGAAAAACAACTTGATTTGGTGACTTTTTAGACTTTTAGTGACTTTAATTCAAAAAAGAGCCTAGAGACAAACTTAGTGACTTTTTGAGCAGATGTTAATGACTGTCTTGAACTCGATGCGGCTCTCCAGCTCACATCACAGCTGCTGTTATATGATTTGAGACAGAAGGTTTGCTCGACTCGACAGTATGAAAAGCCTGACTATGTTGGACTTAAGACCAATCACAGATCGCCACTGTTTCCCAACGGCCAATCACTGATCACCACTGTTTCCCAACGACCAATCACTGAACACCACTGTTTCCCAATCACAGATCACCACTGTTTCCCAACAACCAGTCACTGATCACCACTGTTTCCCAACGACCAATCACTGATCACCACTGTTTCCCAACGACCAATCACTGATCACCGCTGTTTCCCAACGACCAATCACTGATCACCACTGTTTCCCAACGACCAATCACTGAACACCACTGTTTCCCAATCACAGATCACCACTGTTTCCCAACAACCAGTCACTGATCACCACTGTTTCCCAATCACTGATCACAGATCACCACTGTTCCCCAACGACCGATCACTGATCACCACTGTTTCCCAACGACCGATCACTGATCACCACTGTTTCCCAACGACCGATCACAGATCACCACTGTTTCCCAACGACCGATCACTGATCACCGCTGTTTCCCAACGACCGATCACTGATCACCGCTGTTTCCCAACGACCAGTCACTGAACACCGCTGTTTCCCAACGACCAATCACTGAACACCGCTGTTTCCCAACGACCAATCACTGAACACCGCTGTTTCCCAACGACCAATCACTGAACACCGCTGTTTCCCAACGACCAATCACTGAACACCGCTGTTTCCCAACGACCAATCACTGAACACCGCTGTTTCCCAACGACCAATCACTGATCACCACTGTTTCCCAACGACCAATCACT